GGCAAACCATGCCAGCATCTTCACCAAAAAAACCCAAAATGGGGTCACAAAGAGTCGGACACGACTAAAACAACACTTCTCTATCTGCTTTAACAGATGATACTACTCATGACCATCCATCCTGCTTCACAGTAAGATATAAGATTTAACAAATGAATTTATACTCTAACCCAAAGTTGCCCTTGGCAGCCATCTCTCTCTAACAAGCAAGTCAGATGTTTGCTAAGGTATAGTCTAGACTCTTGATCTTCTTAATATGACAATTAATTGGCATTGGTTATACTCGTGGATAAAAATCATTAGTCAGTGTCATTTCTCTTCTCCTTTTTCCATTTTTGATGTTCAATTACTTGTTAAAACAGTTCAGGATTGAGTTATATTTCAACTGTATGCTAGGTAATTCTCTCTCTCTCACTTTTTTTTTTCCAGTGAGGCAATCAGGGTTAAATGACTTGCCCAGGGTCAAATAGCTAGTGAGTATTATGCATCTGAAGCCAGATTTGAAGTCAGGTCTTCCTGACTCCAGGGCTGGTGCTCTATCCACTGCACCACCTAGCTGTCCCCTCACCCCCCCTTTATTTCCCCTAATTCTGACCTTAGTTCTCATGAACTGATAGTTTGAATGTATACAGAAAGTGACTCAGGGATAATACTAATAGCAATAACAAGTTTTTTCTAATCTATATACAAAATCATGTATTATAAAGAAAGTCTTTCCTAATTATCCCTTAATTCTAATGCCTTCCATCTGTTGATTATTTCCTATAATTTGTGCTGTATATCATTTGTGCATACATCACTGTTTACATGTCATCTCCTCCACTGAACTGTAAGCTCCTTGGAAGTAGGGACTATTTTCTACCTTTCTTTGCATTCCCAATGCTTAAGACTATGCCTGGCACATAGTAGGTACTTAATAAATGTTTAATGACTGACTAAATTTTTTTGTGGACTAGTTTGGTGCTCACCATGTCCAGTATCTACCAATTCTTTTCTTGAGTAAACTGTTCCTGCTATAGAGCAAGGGTTCCTGACCTTTTTGGTCTCATGAACTCCTCTAGCATAGCAAGGGAAAGCATATAGACTCCTCAGAATCATGTTTTTTGTTTGTTTGTTTTTTCATTCAAAATTGAGGAAATGATAAATTTCAGTTAGAGGTCAGTGAAAATAATTATTTTTCCCATCCAATTTCACAGACCTCCTGAAATCTTGCTAGCATTACTTAGGTTAATATTGAAATATTTTTATTCTCAGAGTACATATCAATTCAATTTTTGAGGTAGGTGGTGTAGAAGGACAGAATATTAACAACAATAACAACAATAACAGACATTTACATAGGACTTTAAAGTTTACAAGGCATTTTACATATATTACCTCATTTAAATCACAGTATATTACGTGACAAAGATCTCAAAAAATTATTGAGTCCAGCCTTTCATTACAGAGATAAGAAAACTGAGGTCCAGAGAGTTGAAAGGAATTTAAAGAAGGACACAGCAATACCGAATGCTAATCAATGCAATTACCAATTATGTCTTCAGAGGACCTATGATGAAGCATGTTACTTTGCTCCTGACAGAGAAGTGATAGAAACAAGGGGCAGACAGTTCTGGAGAGGTTTGCTATCCGGACTTGTTTTGCTTGACTATATTTGTTTGCTACAATTTTTTTTACTCTTGGTTTTCAGCTGGGTTGGGGGTTGGAAGGTTAGCAACAGTGATGCCAAAAATAAAAGGGAAAAAAAGGAGGGCCATTCTAACATTGTTAAAGGTACACAGAGGAGAAGGAAGTTCAGAAGGAAACACAGTGTAGGATAGTTTTGAAAATGACATGTAGAATTTATTATATATTTTTCTTAAAAAAGAAGGAATGTGAAATGGAGATTCAGTGTCATATGGAATCTCCTTGTGCGTTCTGCTATATGTATGGAAATGTTCCTTGTTTTTTAAGTTCAGAATTTAAAAAAAAAACCAAAGGTTAAGGGATAGTTCAACAGCTAGGGAAGGAGAAAAGTCATACCTGAAAATGAAAGGAAAATAAAACCAAAGATATCAATAAAAATAGGATTAAAAAAAGTACATGGGTACCAGTAAAACACCTAAGCTTTCTCTCCTTAACTGACTGGCCCACCTTCTTTTCCATTCATATATATCTTATATCAGACACGCAAAAGTTAAACATGCCACACTCCTGAGTGCAGCTAAACCAGATTATATGTAATTGAGAATTATTTAACAAAATAAATAAAAGTACAATAGAAGATAGATATTGTTAATATATGGTTTCCTAAGCCAATGTGTGGCCTGCAGGGATCCTTGTGTACAGTTAGCGGCTCTCATTTCTATCTATATTTGACACCACTGTCTTACATGATGTATTTTCCATGTCTTCCTGGACTCTACTATTCGTGGGTTATATACTCCAGTATACTTATGTACACCACATGCCTGTCCGTTGCCTAATGGATTACCTAAAACTCTAGCTCTCTGAAGAAGGCAATATTCCATGATATGGCATCTTAAGAAGAATATCAGTGTTAAAGAGATGAGTTTTCTATCTATTGGGGAATGGCTGAACAAATTATGGTACAAGAATGTAATGCAATATCATTATACCATGAGAAACAATAGATAGGAAGAATACAGAGAAGTACAGGGATATCCACCTGGAGTCAGGAAGACCTGCTAGGAGGCTACTGCAATAGAAGGGCATGAGAAGATGAGAGAGCACATAGACAGTGAAAATGGAAAGAAAAACTGGCAGAGAGAGAGAAAGAGAGAAAGAGAGAGAGAGAGAGAGAGAGAGAGAGAGAGAGAGAGAGAGAGAGAGAGAGAGAGAGAGAGAAACATACAGATAGACAACCCATTCTGTACCCAGAAAGAAAAAAAGGGCAGATTTTCTGGAGGAGCCACCCATATCCTTTTGGCCTTGGAGAACACTGAGACTTTCACCACAAAAAACCTTTTAAGCCATGCTTCTTTTTCTTAATTACTGACATATGTAAGGATGTGTCACATTGGGCAGATGAAATTAAGTCAGAACTCTCAGGTATATACTTCTATTTTTAAATGTCTCTCTTGAAATATTGTCTTGCATTATAAAAAAAAAATTCAAGTCTAGTTGGAATGAATAAGGTAGTAATTTTTAAATGCCTAAAGAATTCTCCATTATATTTTTAAGTGTCCTCAGAGAATGGGGCAGCTAGCTGGCGCAGTGGATAGAGAACCGGCCCTGGATTCAGGAGGACCTGCATTCAAATCTGACCTCAGACACATAACACTTACTAGCTGTGTGATCCTGGGCAAGTCACTTAACCCCATTGCCTAGCCAAAAAAAAAAAAAGTGTCCTCAGGGAAAACTCTTTCTCTTCCTTCTTTCCTTCCTCTCTCTCTCTCTCTCTCTCTCTCTCTCTCTCTCTCTCTCTCTCTCTCTCTCTCTCTCTCTCTCTCTCTCTCTCTCTCTCTCTCTCTCTCTCTCTCTCTCTCTCTTTCTTCCCCAGTACAATGAATAAAGCAAGTACTGGATAAAGACATATTGAAAAAGTAGATGAATAACATAGAGCTATGGAAGTGTTAAATGATTTTCAAAAGAAAAAAATTAAAATATAAAATACAGGATGGTGTTATCACTATTATCTTATTATGAAATTGAAGCAAAACAAAACAAAACAAAAAAACAGTGGACTCGTTCTTGGTATGTTTAGTACTTCATTCATCTTCCATTTCATCCCACCACTGCTGAATGGAACTTTGATCTGTTTCTTTTCTTACTTGGATTATCAATATGAAATAAAAATTATATATCTAGAGACCAGAAATAATCGCTGAATGAGGAGATTCCCAAGTTACAATGTCTACCACTATAATTTTTAGATGAATACAAGGAATGCAAGATTTCTAACCAAATGGTGAGTTTTTCTCTCAATTAATGGAAACCACTATGGCCTTAACATAAATGAAAAAATTCCTTCATAAGCTGGACTGTTTTTAAATTTCAATTTGTCTTTCATCATTTGGGAATTCAAGCCTACCCACAAATGTGAAAAGCCAGGTGAGCACTGATGAAAGTGATGAACTTCTGTGGAAACCAACATAATAATAATAATAAAAACATTTACATAGTGCTTATTATGTGCCAAGCACTGTGCTTAACACTTTACGATTATTATCCCATTTGATCCTCAGAATAACCTAGGAGATAGATGTTGTTATTATTCCCATTTTAGAGTTAAGGAAACTGAGGCAAACAGTGACTAAATTACTTGCCCAGGATCACACAGTAAGTATCCAAAACTAGATCTGAACTAAGGTCTTCCTGATTCTGGGCCAAGTGCTCTAGGCACAGCGCAATTTACCTACTCCAAAAACTTAGTCAAAATGCTTCAATAAATTTTTCTTTCAAGACATAGTAGTAGACATTTCAGTGATAATTATATTCCATTAACATTTCTGTTCTTGATCTTTTAGCCATGAATACTTTATAAACTGTAATAATCCAATATTATGCAAGCATAGGTATAATTCAGATTATAGGTAAATAATTTTCTAGCATATAAGAACTTCTATGTGCTTATTTCATAAAGGTATTTCTTTTTGCAAGCCAAGTGCAATTGTAAAAATAGTTTTTAAAAGGTAAATCTAACATACCTCACTAAAGTAACAAGTACTGTTTCCACAGCAACCAGATCTTTATTTATAGGAGAATTTTCATTACCTGGTTTCAACATAGTTCATCGATTATTACAGCAACATAGAGAAGATTATGGTCATGCATATTTAAAAATTTTAACTGCCTCTCCAGGGACACTTCCAATTCAAGTCTTAATTTGACAGGGACTATCCAACAATCCATTCATTTTGGTCATTTATTCAATGAAAGTAAATAAAACAGTATACTACACCTTTCTGGAAACTCTATGAAGTTATATTACATACCCTTCCCCACAGAAGAAGAATTGAAAAACAACAACAGGAAAAAGGAATTAAGTGGGCATTTACTTGTATTAGACACATCCGTGGGGCTGTTGTTTGGAGTAGTAATTGGAGACGGCTCTCTTTTCTTGAATCCGGTTTTTATCTATGAAGGAAAATGAGAAACATGAAATGGCATTTTCTAAAGTAGGTCAAAGACCAGGCTAAGAGGACATGTTAACATAAAAAATATGGTTAAAGAGACTGAAGCAATACTGAAAAATATGAGCCAAACCTCTAACACTTCGGTATGTTTGTCTTCAAATAAATAGCTATAAAATCAAAGAAATTGAAGGCAACAATTACTTTGAATTTTACTGTGTCTAACTAAGGCCAGCAAAATATAAGGCTTTTTGCTGCTGCTTTCAAAGAGTAACAGAACCCAATACAAAAAAAAAATGCCAGGAGCTACAGAAGCTAGAAAATTTCATGTGCTATGTCTGAACAGCATGGACCTATGGCTGGCTTTACCTTTGAAAATTCTCATCCCATTATCTAAAAGGCTGCCTGTATTTCTTTTTTTTTAATCTTTGTAGTGAACATAAGTTTCAAGTACAAATACTTCTCTTTGTTCCTTTCAGCTGTCAGAGCTCTGTGGTAGGGAACTCTTGATATATGGGTTTGATCTGAAATTCTTTCATTCTGCCCGAATCTAATTTTGCAGAACCATATTCAAGGAAATATGGTCTATACAGGAGACAGCAATGACCAGACAGGCACTAAAGAGTAGCCTTGGTGTACAGCAAAGAAGCAAGAGAATCAAAAGGGAGACTTGTCTAAGGTCATCTAAGGCATCAAAAGAGATGATGATAAATTGAATCACAGTGGGGGTTGCCAGAAACTCAACGGGATCTCTTGGCTATGTGTTGATATGAGCTGCCATTGGGTCAAATCGACGCTGCCTCAAGAATCACAGGGGCTCAGCCCATGGCATGTTGACAATGCAATTGGATAGATGACCTCACCAATGTGGTTATTCTCTCCAGCCATACAAATACCAACCCATCTGTGTCCTTTCATTCTTTTTTGCTCATGTGTTTCCTTGGATCTTCCAAAGATGATTCATCCAAAATATTGAAGGGGTTCCTCAAGGTCTTTTTATATTTTGAGAATACTAATGGAGAATTTGCAAGAGGTCTTCCCTGGAACACCTCCCCTCCAATACCCTCTGTCCCAGCGCACTCAGCCACCCCTTTGAGATCACCTCCTATTTATGCTGTACATATCTTGTATTATATATAGTTGTTTGCATGTTGTCACCCATTAGAATACAAGCTCCATGAGGGAATGGACTGTATTTTTGCCTTTTTTTTTTATTCCTGGCATTTAGCACAGTGCCTGGTTACATGATAAGCTCTTAATAAATGTTTGTTGACTTAACTTGAGAAAGCTGAGTCTTGGGAAGGAAATACAGATAGAAACACAGGAAGAATTTGTGAATTGTATTTGTAAATTTATAAATGAAAACACTTACTTGACTTTTATTAAAAGACATCAAGGTGGTATTTACAGTCTTGGGAGAGGATGACATCTTTTGATCAGAGTTCTCTTGATGAGAAAGGAAATTAAAAGATGCTGAAACCTGGGCCTCACATCCTGCTGAAGATGGCAAGAGGGATGAGCACTGAGTGGTTTCTTGCTGACTCGAGCTAAGTTTTTGTCTTATGAACCCTATCTCCCAAGCAGATTCTGACCTAGAATTAAAGAGAAATCATTTTATGAATGTAATAAGACTTTATAGCTTTTTGAAAAATAATGCAATGTATTCTACTGCAGAAATGTCAAACATGTGGCCTATGGCCTGAACCAGATTAAAATGTAATTGGAAAATATTTAACAACAGAAATAAAAATAAAACAAAACATAGTGTTAATTTGTGGTTTTTGAAGTAAACAGATGGCCTGAGGTGATCCCAAAGTACATTTGGTGGTCCCATTTCTGTCTAATTTTGAAACTATCATTCTACTATATCAGGGATTCTTAAGGTGTGAAGTATTTAACTAAATCATTTACAATTACTGTTTTTAACAGACATACTAAGTAATCTATATTATCTTTTAGAGTTAAGATAATTACCTTAATTTTGCTCTAGTAATTATGCTTTTAGCTTCTTCAAATGAAACACCAATCAATGACTCCTTATTTATAGTCACAAGCTGATCCCCTGGCTTTAATCTTCCATCCTAGCAAATAATATAAAAAAAAGTTCATTAAAAAAATGAACAAAACCAATATAATTAAATTCAAATAATAATGGTAGCAGTATTAATAATAATAGGTTGTACAAACAGTAAATTTATGAAGTCTAGATAAAGGATTTGATCTTTATGATTCCTATCAAGTTGGAATTTGGTTTCAGATATAAGTGAAATTGTTTCACTTTTACTTTAAAGGTTTTAAATGATTCTTCTTAAGACAAAATCAATGGTAATATGTATAGAGACATATGTATGTAGAAATATGTCTCTACATATATATTTAAATGGTTTTTCCATTAAAAAAATTCATCTTAAGTTTTTATTTACATTTTATAATTCTTTTCCCTCCAAAATAATGTTTTAGGTTCAGTTGTCATTCAGGAAGAATTCTTTAGAAGTTTTCAGTTGCACTTCAATTTGTCTCTAAGTAAGGAAAATTCACCTTTCTACTTGGGATGGTGATTCTCCTTGGAGCAGTGACTGTAACTTTTGAAGTGGAGTCTTTAAAAATGTCATTTTAAAAAACCTAAAAAAAAAAGCCTGCTGTTCTGCAGGATCAAAGTTACCCCACAGGTTTTTTTGCTAGGTCAATATATTAATGACCCAGTGATTTCCAAAATATGGAGACTTTCAGTATAGGGCTTCCCTCCAATCTTGCAGATTGTACCTCCCCCCCCACCCCCCCATGCCTCATACTCTTTAAGCATTGCCTGAGATTCAGGGAGGATAAAGTGATTTGCCCATGGTCACAGCTAGTGTAGGAAATGGGATTTGAACTCTATTTACTATGTTACATAGCCTCCTCCCCTACCCCTGCTTTTTAAAAATATATATGACAATTAAATTGAATTGAGTAATATGGGATGTCCCCAAAATCTTACCACAGTTTTAAGCTTTAAAAGTCTAATAGCTATTAAATAATGACAGTGATGATGATGATGATGGTGATGACAACTTCAATAGCTTAAAACCACACTAAGACTTTGGGAACACCCTGTATATTTGAAGATGGTGAAAATGGAATTATGTCTGAATAAAGTCTAGTAACATCCACTAAGCTCGCTTTTGATATCTCATTATGGCATGGAGTTGACTCTGGGTTTTAAAAGGCGTGGGAGTGGAAAATAAGCCTTGGCAGATTCTACAAATAGGACAAAGCTTTAAGTTTGAGCTTGGTGATATAATGTTGGTTGTTGAAGGACCAGTCAAAGGTGCATGTCTAGACTGACCACAGTATGATACATTTTTCCCATCAAGCAAGACCACTTTAAAAGACTATCTACTAAGTTTTAGATGGGTTTTAATATGGTCAGTGGAAAGAGTGACCACATTGATAAATTTATGGACCGTTAAAGTATTAAGCATATGCTGGCAAATCCATGGTTATTTTGATGTCCATAAAAACAAGCAGTGTACTTGTTATATGACTATTGTCAAAAAAGCACAAATCACTAAGTACTTTGATGGACTTGTGATTTCATCGATGAACTGTAACACCAATAGCTTCTCCCACAAAGACTAAAAATAATGTTATTGTATCTTTAAAAGACTTTGGAGAATTCCAGGAAAGACAGTAATGTGAAAGATCATAAAGGAGCCAAGCTCTCCAAAAGATATTCCAGAAAAATGAGAAAATGGCTCTAGAGAGATCAATAATAAAGAAATCAGAAGATGCAGAAGCACCATCATTCATTCCAGAACTGCACAAAAAGGATGGCCAGAGGAGGGTTGGAGGCTGATAGAGGGGTCGTGGAATCCTAGTAGCCATGTAGCTTAACCCAATAGCCAGAAATGAATCACTGTTCTGCCACTCCCACCAAGCAGTAATCCAAACTCTGCTTGAAGACCACAAGTAAGGGGGCGACCATGAGTCAGTCCGTTCTAGTTTTGGATACCTCTAATTGTTAGAAGACTTTCCTGACATAAAGTCTAAATTTGCCCTTTGTTGCAACTTCTATGGCCCTGCTCTTAGACTCTGAGGTTCAAAAAGGGTAAATCTAATCCTTTATCCACACATTGGTCCTCTACATACTTGAACACAGGCATCATCTCTCTCCTGACTGTCCTCTCCCCTCCAGGCTAAACATTCATAATTCCTGCCTCCCAGGAGGCTTTTAACCTAGAATCTGTGAACTTTTTTTTTTTTTATCATTTTGGGAACTGTATTTCAGTATAATATAATTCAATATAATCAGTTACCTCTGTAATCCTATGTATTTTATATGTTTAAAAATATTACTCTGAGAAGGTGTTCACAGGCTTTACCATACCACCAAAGGGATTCCTGACACACAAATAAGATTAAAAACTCCTACTTCAAAAAACAAAAAACCAAAAAAGCAAAAAACTCCTACTTCAACCCATTCTCATATGAGAGGCTCAGTGCTCTTCATCAACGTGGCTGTCATCCTCTGGACAATCTTCAAATACCAATATTCTTCCCAAACTTTGACACAATGAACTGAGCATAATATACCAAATGAGTTCTAAGAGGGTAAAAGGACAATCACCTTCTAATTCCTAAAAGCTATGCCTCATTTATTTCTGTTGTTGTACAGTCGTTTCAGTCATGTGTGACTCTTCATGACCCCATTTAGGGTTTTCTTGGCAAAGAGAGTGGAGTGGTTTGCCATTTCTTTCTCCAGCTCATTTTATAGATGAGGAAGATGAGGCAAACAGGTTTGAGTGATCTGCCCAGAGTCATACAGCGAGTGCTTGTGTGAGGCTGGATTGGAACTCAGGTTTTCCTGACTCCAGACTCAGCAGTCTATCCACCATACCATGTAGCTGCCTTCCTTAGTCCAAAAGCGCCTTAGCTGTTGTGGGCTACTGCCTCATGCCACTAACTCATACTGAGCTCACAGTCCACTAAAATCCCCATTTCTTTCTAGGATAAATAGCTTTCTAACAATGCCTCCTCCTCATTTGGAGCTTGTGAAATTGATTTTGGGGATCCAAATTTAAGACTTTCTATTTATCCCCATGAAATTTCATTCAATTAGATTCAACCCAATGCACTAATCTGTCAAGATCTTTTTAGCTCTTGACTCTGCTGACCAGCATGTTAGCTATCCCTCTCTGCTCGGTGTTACCAGCAAATCAGATAAGCTTGCCTTCTATTACTTCATTCATGTCACTGAAAAAAAACATTAAACACAAGGGCAGCTAGGCAGTGCAATGGATGGAGCACCGGCCCTAGAGTCAGAAGGACCTGAGTTCAAATTCAGCCTCAGGCACTTAACACTTACTAGCTGTGTGACCCTGGGCAAGTCATTTAACCCCATTGCCTAGCCATAAAAAAACCCCACCAGAAATGAAAACAAACAAAACAAAACAAAAAAACAAAACCCAACAAAACCAAACCATTAAACACCATAAGACTAAGTATAGATCCTAGAAGATTCCATTAGATACTTCCTGCCCAGTTGACATGATTACTGTTGAGTCTAAACTACTGCCTGATTCATTTAACTGTGTTGTTTTGGTCTATAGAATTCTCTTTTCCATAAGAACAGTATAAAATACGTATCGAATGCTGAATTCAAAGCAAAAAAAGCAAACTAGCAGGATGGAGTACACACTAACAACAATCATATAAGTGAGATGAACAGACAAATGTGAAAGTAAGACTGGAATCCTGATAGGGACTAGAAAGAACTGACTACAAAACATTTTATGCATTATTCATTTCAATGTAAATAAGTATTAATCAGGACTAAGTGCTTGTAAGTGATATTTTACATTGTTTCTATTAAAACCTTTATTTTTAAATTATTTATACTTAAATACAAATATAGAGACACACGAGCGGAGCTGTGGCATGCTTTTGTTGTTGTTGAGCTGTTTCAAGTGAGTTTGACACTTCAGGGTTTTCTGGGCAGAGATACTGGAGCAGTTTGGCATTTCCTTCTCTAGATCCTTTGACAGATAAGGAAACTGAGGCAAATAAGGTTAAGTAACTTGTCTAGGGTCGCATAGCTAGTAAGTGTCTGAGGCTGGATTGGAACTCAGGTCTTCCTGACTCTAAGCTGGGGTGCTCTATCGCTTGTACCATGTAGCTGTGCTAGTACGGTATAGTGGATAGATATTTGACCTAAGAGTCAGGGAAGACCTTGGCTCAAGTCTTGATTATGACACATAATGGCTATGTGATCCTGGAAAAATCATTTAACCTCTGTGGTCTAGGCACTCTCTAAAGCTATGAATTGCTGCTCAATATCTGTATCTACACTGGTAGAGGGGTATGTGCATGTATACACACTGGTATATCCATGAGTATATAAAGGAAATCAGCAATAGGGCATAGTGGATAGAAAGCCATTCTCAGGGTTAAGAAGACTTCTGTGTTCTGCCTGCCTTTCCTGGCTTTGTGACCCTGCCAAGTCACTTCATCCTTTGGTAATCCGAGCAACACTTTAAGACCACTGGATGAAGGATATCCAGTGATCTGCATTAGGAAAGGATGTGTCTTCACAAAGAGGTCTTCAAACCAAGAAAATCATAGATCCAAATTAAAGCAGAAAATCAACAAAAGGAAAACAATATAAATTGAACTCATTTGAGAACATGCCTATAAATGACTTGCTTATCTTGATAGCAATCAATCAATCACTCAATGTTTACCAAGTTCCTACTATTACACTGTGCTAAATGATGGTGATACAAAAAGGAAACAAAAGAAGTAAAACCCCCTGACCTCAAGGAGCTTTATGGTCTAATGGCAGAGACAACATGCAAATATGTACATATAAAGCAAACAATATAGAAGTGAAGCGTCTTTTTTGGGGAACAGCAAGGAAGCTGGTGTTAATGGATCAAAGAGTAGCATCAGGGAATAAGTTTAAGAAAACTGGAAAAGTAGGAGTGGGCTAAGTTATGAAGGGCTTTAAATGTGAAATAAAGCATTTTGTATTTGCTCCTGGAGGTTACAGGGAGCCAGTAGAGTTTACTGATTGAGGGCAGACCCAGTCAGACCTGCACTTTAC